ACGCGAAGCGGCGAAAAAAGAGCGGCAACTAAAAGTTGCAGGGAGGAAAAGAGGAGCAAAGTGCTGCTGGTGCGGAACGAGCCACCCTCGCACGCTGCGGGTCTCCGTGACGCAAGCGGCCGGCGGAAGCAGCGGCCACGGAGGGAGCCAGCAATTGGGGAGCAAGCAGGTACATTTGCGGCATCAGCGGGCACTCCGCGACGGCAGCGCACGGCCGCGCAGCAGCTTCTCCACAGCCTGGCATACCTCAGCAGGCGACATGGTTCCCACAAATACGGCGTACACCTCCACCACGCAGTCCCCCGCCGGCTCGTCACACGCAAAGTCCGGCAGCAGCATCGGGCGCAGCACCAAGTGCGGCAAAACGGCAGCGGGAAGCCTCCCGCGTGCGTCGAGGGAGCCCCAAAGAAACGCCGCGGCCCCTGCAGAAGCCCCAGACCCTTCCGCTGGCGACGGTTGTTGCGAAGAGGATAGCAAGGCCGTGGCCGCCGCTGTCGGTGGAGCGCACGGTGTTGGGGTTGGCGGCCGCGTGGGCTCACGAGCAAAGGAGAAAAATGCCTTCTTCCTCCTTGCGGCAGGCGGAGTCGGCGCAGCGCGTGTCGTCGGCGGCGCTACCGCTGTTTCGGCGGCCTCGTGCAGGTTGCAGACGCAATAAAAGAACTGCATCCCGAGGTGACCCCAGACTCCCTCAGAATAGCCGCCCTGTAGCAAAGTGTGGGAGCGGCTGATGTTCAGCGCCACAAGCCGCCGCAGCGTCCCCACAGCATCCCGCACATTTGCCGGCCGCTCGTGCGTCATGCGGTGGAAGCTGGCGACGACACCCCCGTTTGTTCGGCGATCGACAGCGACGAAGTGAATTAGCCCAGGGATCTCGTAAGACTCCACTGGAGGCGAGAGCAGCCACTGAAGGCAGCTAAAGCGCGGCTCAATGCTGCCGTGGACGTCGCGGGCGAGCTGCGACAAGGCGCGTCCGCTTGCCGTGGTGGAGGAACACCCCCGCCGCACCTCCTCCCGCGCACGCTGCGGCGGGAGGTACATCAGGCAGAGACCGTATCCAAAGGGACAGGTTGCCAGGAGTGGGTCCGCGCCCGCGGCATCGCCGCTGCCCTGCGGCGCTGCGCCCACCGCCGGTATCCACCGCAGCTGCATGGCGCCCACTAAGTCTGAGTTGCGGAAGCAGATGCTGTCGAGCTGGAAGGTGCGGCCCGCAATGGCGTCGAAGTCCATTTCCACCTGGTGGTACTCATTACGCGCCACACATGCACGACCAGCAGCCGCGACCTCGTCTGTCCCACGCATTGCGGTCCGCCCCGTCATGAGCGTCAGCAGCTCGTCGTAGGCGGCTTCGTAGAACAGTGCCCGGGCAGATTCCCCGACAATCTCTTGTTGCAACGCCTCGGCGTACGTCTCAATGGCCCGTCGCGCCGCCAGACGGCTCACGTTGTGGCGGTGAATGCCAAAGCGCCGCAGTCGCTGCTCAAGCTCACGCAGCCGCCGCTCCTGCGGTGCAACGTCGTAGAAGCTGCGCTGCAGCGGCGCCGCAAAGAAGGCGCAGGTCACAAGGTACGCCAAGTAGCGATCCGAGTCCAGCAGCGCCACCCGCTCGACACCGCCGACGCGCGCCGCCTCCTCGCTCCAGCGCGGGGTGGTCTCCATCACAAGCTTGTGCCCAAGCAGCACAGCGACGTAGCTCGGCAGCCGGCGGTCGGCCGCATCCTGCAGGAGTGACTGCCGCACCAAATCGTCCAGCAGTCCACCGGCGTCGGGGCTGGCGAAGCCCGTCGCGATGATGGCCGGGCGCACTAGCCGCTCAATCGTCTGGCACAGCAGCGAGAGGTCGTGCTGCCCGAGGCGGGACTCCACGTAAAGCAGCACCTGCTTCAGCACAGGGGCGTTGGGGCCGCCCTGGCGAGGGTCAATGTTAAGGAAGAGGCACAACTCACCCACGAGCGCCGCGACGCGCAGCAGCGTCGCCGCACCGTAGCCGTCGTCGCTCCCCACCACGGCGAAGAGCGCACTCGACGCCTCCGCATGGGCGTCCTCCTCCGCCTCCTGCAGCGGGTAGCGGTGGACGCGGGCGTGCTGCCACGGCGAAAACGGCGACGGGGCGGCGGCCGCGTCTCCCCCCCGCCGCGCCTCCTCCATGCACTGCAGCATGTCGTCGAGCGCGCCAACCCGCAGAATCGCCACAGTCGCTTTGCCCAGCGTCAGCGAGCGCGCCCGCAGCCGCCCACGGCTGTTTTCTAACAGCCGCACGGTAAACCCATGCAGCTCCCCGGAGGCGCCCACGGCCACGGAGAAGGAGCCGGGTGAGGAGACCGATATGTACCGCATCGCCTTCTCCGTCTCCCTCCCGCTTTGCCGCCTCCCCGCTGCAGCCCCGCCGGAGGGAAGGGCGGCACACACACAAATGCACACGCGCACAGGGAGAGAGAGGAGGAGGAGGGCGGGGATGCAGCCACACAAGACAGGAATGAATGAATGGGAGGCAAAGGCGAGAGGCAGCCAACACCCCTCTGAAAAACAGGCAAACCATCGGCCACAACACAAGGCACACAGGCAACGAAACGAAAACAAAAAAGGGGGCGAGTGGCGAGGAAGACGATGTTGGTGCTGGGACCGTTGAGCAGCAGCCGCAGCAAGTGGCCGGCGGGATTTAAGTTGGCCACAGGGAGGAAAACAAAAAAAAGGAAGGAACGGGCAGATGCGTGGTACAGTGCATAACTGTAAATCCATCCCTCTCCCGCTGTGGCTGGAGCGCGTCTACACCCTGGCCGCCCCCCGATGCCGTTACGCAGAAGCAGCAACGCAGCAACGCCACGAATGAAAACGGCAGCACACGCATACCCACACACACACACACACCAAAACAGGATGAAACCAAACAAGCAAACTTATGACAGGCCGCGTTGATTTCCCATCCCGCCTCTTCTTCGCCTGCTTCTTGTTTTTTTTTTCGTTCGTTTCGCCCCCTCGCCCGCGGATTAAAAGGAGTAGCGCAGCATGGTATTGGTGGGCTCAATTTGCGCAAAGCTGCAGGTGAGGTTCTCGTCGACGATCATAAAGGCGCCGGCGTTGTCAAACTCGCCGCAGTAGTTGGGCGCCGAGAACACCGTGACAAGGCGACGGGCGGCGAAGAACTCGTAGCCGGCATCCACCACCTGGTGCGCGCGGCATATAAGGTCGAGGTCAAACTCCTTCAACGCCTTCTGCACAATGTCCTGGCCAAACGTCCATGAGACGCCGCGGTCGTTTTCGCCCCAGCCGACGCAGTCGCCCGGGTCGGCCCAGAGAAGGTCGCAGATGAGGCCGCTGTCGGGCACGTCGGTTGGCCGCAGGATGCAGCGAATTTGGTCTAGCTGCCTCAGCTCCGGGCTCAGGCCGCCGTGCATGCACAAAATACGCCCCTCCACCAGCCCCGCCACCGGCATGCAGTTAAACGTGTCTGTGAACTGCTTCCACAGCCGCACGCTGTAGCGCCGCTTGCACTCATCAAAGAAGCCGTAGATGCGATTGATGCTGCTAGACTCGTGGTTGCCGCGGAGCAAAAAGAAGGATTCCGGGAAACGCAGCTTGTACGCCAGCAAAAGACAGATGCTCTCGAGGGACTGGTCGCCCCTGTCCACGTAATCGCCGAGGAAGAGGTAGTTGGCCTCCGGTGGGTAGCCGCCAAGGTCAAAGAGGCGCAGCAGGTCGTGGTACTGCCCATGCACGTCGCCGCAAATGCGGACTGGCGCCACCACCTCCACTAGCATCGGCTGTGACATGAACAGCAAGCGTGACTCCATGACAAGGTAACGCACCTCGGCCTCCGACAATTCCTTCTGGGAGCTCGTGGCGCATGGGTGTCGCGGCGAATCCATCCCCTGCGCCTGCCTGAAGGCACTCAGACGTGACAGACGAGTGTACTTGCGTTGACGGTCTACGTAGACCCCGGCGGTGGCGTTGGGGGTGGCGGCGGCAGCAGCGCTATTGTGAGAGGGGTGCAGTAAGAGCCGCCCGATGATGTCGTCTAAATTCATCTCCATCCCATGCATGTTCGCCATTTAGATATGTCTCCCTCTATTCCCCACCCACCAGGGCAGCCCTAGGCTCTATCGTTTCCACGCACACACACACACACACACGCACTTGCGCTCCCTCACTAGCGCGCAGTGTGTTGCGGTTGTTCCTCCGCGTCTCACCAATTTTTCTTTCTTTTTTTTTCACTCGCCGTGGTGGGGCCCTCGTTGTCTTGCGGGTTCGCCCGCCGCTTCTTTTCCCTTCAGCTCGTATGGCTCCCCCCCTCCCTCGACAGCGGAACCAGGGACGCCGATGCGCCGCCGTGTGGGTGGACGTGCGTGTGGACGGCCGGTCCCCGCACCACGCACCGCCGTTTTTCCTGCACTCCGCCAAGAGCCGCCCGTGTGCCCTTCACTTTATCCCTCCCTTTTCTTTTTCTCTCCCTTTCCCTGTTCGCGTGTGACGTGCGTGGGCGGCGGTGCGGCGCCGCAGTTTGTCCGCGTGCCACGGAGACAAGAAGCGGGGGAGGCGCGAGTGCCAGTTGAGGATGGCGAGCGGGGAAGTGTCAGACAGACGCACACGGCGTGAGAGCGAAGGGGAGAAAAGGGAGCTGCTCAATCGGCGTGGCCGGGCGGCGCCAACGCGAGGACGACGGGAGTTGCGTACGTTCGCCCGCACGGAGCGACAGAAAAAACAACACACAAAAAAACCGAATTCAAACATTTTGACACGCTGCGGCAGGCAAACACGGGGAGGGGAAAAACGTCACCTGGAGGCTGGAGTGGCAGAATCGCCGTTGCGAGCGGCGGGATCCGTCGGGGGTGCGCCGCCTTCCCGTTCCTCCAGGAGGCCATTAATGACCTCAAGCTGCATCCTCGCCATGTTCATCTCATCGGAGTGCAGCAGCGACGCATCGTAGTCAATCTCCTTAAGGTACTCGCGGCCTCGGCTGAAGTGCGGCGGGTGCCACACCTTCAGTGTCGCGTCCGGGGTGGTGTTGGGCTTCAGCGAGGAGCGGCCGAGGATCATGCGGATGCACTCGACGAAGCCCTGCACAACGGACGGGTAGGAGGCGGTTAACTTCAGCAGCTCGTACACCGACTCCGAGCGCAGGATGGAGAGCGACGCCACCTCAATGATGCTGCCTGCGTGCGGGCCGTGGGCGCGAACGCCGAGCAGCCGCTTCTCCCTGTCATTTGTCACTATGACCTTGCAGAACCCCTTTGTGTTGCCCATGGCGAGGGCGCGGCTCAGGTGTCCGTAGCCGTAGTGCGCCACTACGTAGCCGAGGCTAGCGGCGCGGCACTGCTGCTCGTTGAGCCCCACACGCGCCAGCTCCTCGCCTAGAAACAGGATGGTTGACAGGTTTTTCAGCTCTTCAGCGTTGATGGGCCTCGCCGGCTTCTCACTGTAGATGTGGTCAACGGAGCCGCGCCCCTGCGCCTCCGCCAGGTTCACAAGCGAACGCCGATCACAGACGTCGCCGACGGCGTAGATGTGCTTGTGCGGCAGGCAACGGTTAAAGGCGTCCACGGCCAGCCGCCCGTCCGTCACCTTACACGATGTATTCTCCAGGCCAAGCCCGCTGATATTCGGCACGCGGCCCACGCAGATCAGCGCCCGCTCCGCCTCGTAGGTTTCCACGTGGCTTGCGACGCCCGCCTCAGACTGCCGGACGCTGTAGATGCAGCCCCCCTCCTCCTCGTCGCCCCACGACTCCAGGTCGAAAAGGGTGCAGTTGTGGTGGATGCTCACGCCAAGCCGCACGAGTTCGTCCTCCACGTACTGCGAGATGTCCTCGTCCTCCATCGGCAGGATGCGCGGGGTGTGGTCGAGGAGGGAGACTTTGGTGCCCCCCAGGCGGGCGTAGATGCCGGCAAACTCGCAGCCGACCGCCCCGGCCCCGACAATCACGAGGCTTGAGGGGACCGGCAGCCGCATGATGGTGTCCGTCGTCACGATGCGGCGGCCGTCCACCGTGATGTGGAAGTACTTGCGCGGCACCCCGCCGGTGGCGATGATGAAGTAATCCGCGTGGATCACGTTGTACTCCCCGGTCGTGGCGCTGTGCACGTCCAACTCGTGCGGGGAGGAGAACATCCCCTTGCCGAAGACGAGCGTCACCCCTGCCTTGCGCAGCCCGTCCAGCTCCTGCTGCTCCCGAACTTCGCTGACGCCCCGCAGCGTCTCGTGCATCCGTGCGTCGCTAAATTTGCCCTGCAACCCCCGCAAAACATCGTCGTCGAACATGCGCCGCGCCACCGGCCCGGAGAGAAACGAGGTGTACTTCGACATCTCCCACAGCGTCTGCGACTGCAGCGTGCCGTCCCAGAGGTCAACGCCGCCGATGCGCCGGCCCTCGACGAGGCAGACCCGCTTCTTGTAGTCGACGGCCCGAAGCGCGGCGGCGACACCGCCAGGCCCGCCCCCAATGACACAGACGTCAAAGTGAGGCAGCTTGGAGGTGATGCGCGTCACCTCGACGGGCCCTACGCGCCACGCCCACGTTCTCCGCAGCATCGCACAGCGGCACGGGAAGGGAGAGGCTGTTGTTGTTGGTATTATTTTGGGTTTCCGTTCACTCAATTCCCTTCTGCTTTGCTTTTCTTTTTTCTTCGTCCTTTTCCGCCTTGATTTTCTTTTTTTGTCCTGCCTTTGCTCTACGGCTGTAGCTGCGGACGGGGAGGGCCAGCCAGGACGGGCCGCAAAGGGTGAACTGAAGCAGGCGAGGTGCGTGGGTGTGCGTAAAGTTCAAAGAACACACACACACAGCAGCGGCAGCAGCAGCAACAACAAAAAAAAATAAAGGAAAAACCAACCAATGAAAAAGGGCGGAAGGAGTACGCCTTAACACACACAGCCAGAGGGAAGTGCGGGGAGGGGCAGGCAGGCAGGCGCGTGTGGCATCTACATCATATGCTTATGGCTCATCTTTTGATACACACGCAGGCCCATTCGCGCGCGCGCGTGCCTGCGCCCCCTCCCCTCGCCAGCCACACCCCCTTCGCCCTCAGGGGTGGCCGGGGCGAAGGAAGAAGGAGCCAGGGAAAACGCCACCGCCGCTGGAAGAGGGTGAGGCCGCGGCCTCCGTTTCGGCGCGTGCGACGGCGGCAAGCTCCACGGCCTCCGCCACCTTCTTCGCCGCCCGGAGCTCCGCCGTGGAGAAGTGGGACGCCTTTTCCTGGAAGGAGCGCCGCTCCTCCCGCATGTCCCTCCCCTCGTACGGGACCGCCGGGCGGTCCGCGGGCGGAGTTTCCGCCTCCGCGTCGGGGGCGTAGGCCCGCCCGCGTTCGTAGTCGGGCGGTGTCCAGGTGTGGCAGACGAGGCCGGGGAAGGAGCCCGGCTTCAGCGTGGAGGAGCCCAAGATGACGCAGAGGCACTCCAGGAAGGCCTGCGACACCGACGGGTACGCCGTGAGAAGCTCGCTCAGCTGGTACGCCGACTGCTTGCGCCGGATCGCCGCCGAGGCAAGCTCGATGATGGTGCTCGCGTTCAGCCCCAGCACCCGCACGCCGAGCAGCGTCTTTTTGCTGTCGTTTGTGGCGAGAATCTTCACAAAGCCGTTGGTGTTGCAGGCGGCGACGGAGCGGCTGCAGAGCTCAAACCCGTAGCGCGCCATCACGTACGATATCTTCTTCTTCTGACACTGCTTCTCATTCATGCCCACCGAGGCCACGGCGACGCTGAGAAAGGTGATTCGCGTAAAGTCGTGCTGCAGCGGCAGCGTGGGCTGCACGCCGAAGATGCGGTCCACCACGAGGCGCCCCTTCGCCTCGCCGACGCTCACCAGCTTGGAGTCGTTCGCCGCGTCCCCGACGGCGTAGATGTGGTCCTGGTCGACGCACTTGCCGAATGCGTCGAGCACGAGCGCGCCCTCCCGCACCCGGCAGTGCGCATTCTGGAGTCCGAGGCCCTTGTAATTCGGCGTCCGCCCGACGGCGATGAGGGCGCGCTCCACCTCGTACGTCTCAATCTCGCGGGTGCGCTTGTTCATGATGCTGTAGCGCACCCCGCTGCGCCGCCCCGGCTCCGCCGCCGGCGCCTCCCACGCCTGCATCTGGTAGAGCACGGAGTCGCGGTGTATCACCACCCCGTCGGCCTCCATCGTCTGCTGTATCCGCTCCACGACGTCGTCGTCCTCCGCGGGGAGGATGCACCTCTCCTTGTCGATGAGGTACACCCGCGTCTTGCCGAGGCGGGCGTAGATCGCGGCGAACTCGCTGCCGAGCACGCCGGCGCCGACGATCACCATGCTGCGCGGCAGCGGCATCATCATCAGCTCGTCCGACGTCACCACGTGCTTGTGGTCGGTCTGCACGTACGGGTGCTCGCGCGGCGCCGACCCCGTCGCGACGATGAAGTAGTCGGCCGTGACGGTGCGGTACTCCTTCGTCGCGCGGTTCCGCACCTCCACCTCGCGCGGGCTGACGAAGAAGGCGCCGCCGTACAACACCGACACCGCCGCCGCCCGCAGCGCCGCGAGGATCTGCTGCTCCCGCATCTCGCTCCCGCGCACGAGCGTCTCCCGCATCTTCGCCTCGTCTGGCTCCATGAAGCTGGCGACGGTGGTGTTGTACACCCGCCGCGCCACGCTGCCGTTCGCCTTCGCAAAGAAGTTCGACATCTCCCACATCATCTTCGACTGCAGCGCGCCGTTCCACAAGTCGCAGCCGCCCACGCGGTTCGCCTCGATGAGGCAGACGCGTTTGTTGTAGTCGACGGCACGCAGGGCGGCGGCGATGCCGGCGGGGCCGGCGCCGATGACGCAGACGTCGAAGTGCGACACGTCCAGCGGGCGCCAGCGCACCAGCGGCGGCTTGCCGCCCAGCAACAGCAGGGCCCGTCGCAGCATGCGCCCCGGCTCGTTCGGCTCAACAACACGCACAAACACGCAGAGGGGCGCAGCGGCGCACGGTGGCTATATATGTGCCGTAGTATACACACGCACACGCACACACACACGTATGTGTTATTGGAAGTCGACTCAGACCGACTTCTGCGCGCGCGCGAGCACCGGCAAACGCAGGCTTGGCGGTGGAACCGAATTCTCCCTACTGCTGCCTGGCCTGGGCGCCGCAGCGTCTACTGTTCAGTGTATAAGCGGTTATGCCTTGCAGAAGAGCGGGGAGACGCAGGCGGGGGGCGGAGTGCGGCTGCGCCACGGGAGCGTGGCGCCTCCCTCCACGCGTGGGGAGACGCGCATGCGCACGTGCGCGGCAGCCAACGCAGGAGTAGGACGAAGAAGAAGGGAAAAACAAAAACAAAAGGAAAACAAAAAGGGAAAAACAACCACACACGCACACCCAACACAATTCCCACTCCTCTCCTGCAGGGGCAGGAGGAAGTGACAGGCCAAGACACGCAGCCTCCGCCACGTGCGGGGCAGTGGGGCAAACGAATTGCCCCCGCCGGGGAGGGGGAGGGCGGCAGCACAGTAGTTATGATGCCGCAAGGAGAATACACGCAGCAGGGGCTCCTGTGGGCTGGGGAGAATTCTCCACCCCCCGCAAAGTCAAGAGACAAGCAGACAGGAAATATTTGGGTGTGTTCGCAAAACGGAGCTGCATCCGACATAATAAACAAAAAAAAGTGAGTAAGAAAAAAAAGAAAACACAAATCTGCCTGCAGATGCTATTCCGCAAGCAGACACACCCACACACACACACACACACACAGCCTTGGATGTATAGGCACCAACACAGATGGTAGCATGTCGGTATATAAGAGCTGGCATTTGCCTGCCAGCCACTGCACTGCCCCCTCCCTTTCATCGCCTTGAAAGTTTACAAGGAAACCAAAAAAAAAACAAAAAACACAAAGTGGACGCGGCGTTCTCACACGGCCCTAAAGACAAGTTGAAGCAAAGGGAATGAGTCAACGCCGAGGCGAAATCAACTTCATGCGTAAGTATATATATACATACATGCATGCATGTACATGCGGTGTGGGTGTTGCCAGGGCGGTCAGGCGGGAGCGGCGGCTAAGGCCATCTTGGACCGATACTCTCTCATCTCCTTGACCAGCGCCACGACCCGCCGCAACTCCCCCTGCTCCGACTCATCCACATCCTCCAGCGACACCGCCTCCACGCGGGAGCCGTCTAATGAAAAGGCGGTGGTAAAGAAGGAGTCGTCGTCCTCCTCGTTCCACCCCTCCTCCCGCGAGGCAAACGCCGGAAGGTTGCGCTCGCTGCGGGTGCGCCCAACGCCGCTCACACGCCGCAGGATGCTCGGCACGGAGTCGATTTGGTTGTTGTGGTGGGCCGGGGCAATGGCGGTGGAGCTCTTCATCAGCACCCGCGTGCCACTGCGCCGAAACTCGTGGCTGTGGCTTCGGCTGCTGCGTGAGAGCATGCTCCGCTTTTTCTCATCCACAGCGAGTGGCTGGGTGGAAGAGCTCGCCTCGTTGTCGTCGACTTCGCAGCTGCAGATGTCACTTCGCGACGTGGGCCGCCCCCAGAGCGGCAGGGGCGGTGAGCACTGCTGCGTGTTGACCGCCGCCTCCTCATGCATGTTTGCATCGGAGGGAAACGACTCTTCCACCTCGCGCAGCGGCGCAGCACGTTGGGCCCAATTATTTTCATTCAAACACTGAAAGGAGCCTGTGAAGCATTCATTGGGCGCCGGCTTGAGCGGCGCGAGGGGCGACGGCGCCGTCCGAAGCACAAAGATCGGCTGCGGATAAAATTCACTTTTTTTTTTGGCAGACGCCTCTTCCTTCCCCCGCTCCTGACTGCGGCTGCGGCTGCGACTACTTTCGCGGCTGCGGCTGCGGCTACTTTCGCGGTCGTGGCTGCAGATACTGTCGCGGTCGTGGCTGTGGCTGCGGCTGCAACCTGCGGTATCGCAGGCGGCCGTGCAACGCGGGGCGGCGCGCGGCTCTGCGCCTTTGCTTGTCCCGGATCCCATCTACGCCTAGAACTAATGGGGCTTGCTCCGAGGGCACCTACTCACCTACGCGCGTGTGCGCGCACACAGTGAGTGAAGCGGGGGAAGAAGGATGCC